AAGAGACTGGAATGATTTGAGACCCGAGCTGTCAAAAATGTCACCCAGGGTGGAGATACCCGACTGAGACCACGATGAGGAAGAGAGGGGGCAGCCTCCAATGTTCAGGACAGGATTGTGGAGCAACGGAACACTGGGATGCCATTTTGGGAAGGGGCCCAACAATTTCTCAACCCTTCTCCAGGTGCGAAGGGCCTGAGAGATAATCGGACCGACGGAGGCAGAGATGGATTTTAATTTAACAGGGAGGAAAGGAAGCGAGGCTAGACGAAGGGGGAGAGCATATTCTGCTTCGATAGGAAGCCAGGCGGGGGGATGCTGAGGAGGACTGATCCAGCTCCAAACCGGCCTCAGGGTAAAAGCAAGGTGGTAAAATTCGAAGTCCGGGAGAGAGACACCCCCATCCAACCGGTCATGGATTAGGGTAGGGTGTCTGACGGAGGGTCTCTTGCCATCCCAAAGAAATGTGGAAATAGCAGACTTGACAGAGGCCCAGTACCCGGGTGGAGGGGAGAGAGGAAGCATGGAACTAATAAAATTAATTCTCGGGAGCACGTTCATCTTAATAACGGCCAGCCTAGCCCGAAATGAGAGGGAAAGAGAAGACCACGGGAAGATTGAGGCTTTAATGCCCTCGAGAACGCGGCGGAAGCCAGCAGCTGTGAGCTCTGGGACCGACGGATTGATGTCCAGCCCCAGGTATCTGAAAGACCTCGCCTGGGGAATAGAAGGAGGAAGTGAAGAGGTGTGGCAGGCAGGATTCAACGGAAGGAGAGAGGATTTTGCCCAGTTAATCCTATAGCCAGACAGGGATTCATACAGTTTATCCGTTTATTTGAAACAGTTTAAGGACATGAGCCCTGCCTGTCCCCCTGAAGAAGCTGAAAAGGAGGAGAAATGTTGGCATTGGTCAAAAGGACAGAAGAGGGGGAGGAGTAAAGAGTCTGGACAAGGTTGTTAAAATAAGGGCCAAAGCCCATTCTATGCAAGACTCTCCACAAAAATGACCAAATCATCCTATCAAAAGCCTTCTCTGCGTCTAAAGAGAGAACGGCAGCAGGTAAGGGAAAAGAAGGAGCAGCGTGAAGTACATGCAGCAGGCGACGGATGTTGTTGGCCGCATGACGGGATTTAATAAGGCCAGTTTGGTCCGGGTGAATTAATTTGGAAATCACCGCCTGCAGTCGACGGGCAAGCACCTTGGCAAACAGTTTGATGTCAGAATTCATCAGGGACAATGGGCGATAGCTGGAGCAATCTGAGGGGTCCTTACCCTGTTTGAGCAACAAAGTCATCAAGGACTGATTAACGTTTTGGAAGGCATTAAGAAAAAAAATGCTCTTGTTTTATCCTGATCATTTTGTGTATAAATGCTAAAAAAAAAAAACATATTTAGGTGTAACTTTTGGGGGGCCGGGAAATAATTAATTGGTTTTCCATTATTTTTTATGGGAAAAATTCGATCAGAACTCGAACTTTTTAGGATTCGATCCGGAGTCCGGAACGTATTAAGTACCACTGTATTTTTATGTTTACCATTTCCAGCGGGGTGGCACTGGAAGCCACCCATGTTGGCTCCGCCCCTGGACAACTGGTATATCAGTATACTGTATATCTGCATCCAGAGGTTTTCCAATTTCACGTGTAGTGCTTAAGCACCCACTAAATCTAATTTTAAAATCAGATTAGTCACCAAAAGCTATACAATATCAAGGCTTAATCTTTTTATACCACAAACATGGTTTTATGTTCTCCATCTTTGGAATAGACTGAGAAGGGTGAAAGGTCAGCGTGACGCGAGGGAGAAGAGGCTCACAGGAGAGATGGGAGGTGGAGGCGCAGCAGAGACTAAATCTGTCCTGCGAAATCAACAGACTAATGGATTAAGTTTGTTTGTACCATCGTATTTTTTCCCTGTTCTGGTCTCCAGTATTTTTGGCCTGTTGCTGTCATTACTTTACATGGTTCCTGTCATAGGTGGGAATAAACAGCATTTTATGCTCAGCCTGCCAGCAAAGGGGGGCCTGGTTTCTAAGGACATCAGTGTCTCTGTAGAGCTCTCACTCGCCTGAGCTGCAGTTGGTCTGCCCTCCTGTGGGCCCACCACCAGTAGGGGGGGCCATGGGGGTCAGGTGTTATGTGGATCAGGTGACACTCAAAGGCAAGGGTCCTGTCGGACCAATCTTCGGTTACTGAAACTGGTTTTAGGAACATGGAATGTAACCTCTATTGTGGGAAAGGAGCCTGAACTGGTGCAGGAGGTAGAAAGTAGAGATGGCAATTTCAGCACCCAGGATCGATCCGTTCCGAAGATGTCTGAAACTTCTGGTCTCGATATGGAGTTTGCAAAATGTTTCAAAACATCAGTCACGTGACCGCCGTGTCATTGTTCACGGCGCGAGAAAAATACCTATAAAAAACCCTGGGAAAAATCCTTGTGTGTTGGGTGTTTGTGGCGTTGTTGGTTTGAGCGAGTAGTTTGGCAATCATTATTATTTGAAATCCAATTGTATTAGTGAAACAGGTTAGCAGTTAGTGTGATTTAGGCATAAGTATATCTGCTCTCTGCTACCTAGTGGGAGAGGGCTCCATAGACAGCACCACCTAGTGGACAGACCAATGCAATTCTGCCCTTGGTGACCCTGAATGAATGACATGTGCCTTCCTTGTATTAACTGTTTGTCTCTGCAGTTTCCTTTCTGCTCTGTTTCAAGTCATAATACTGTTTACACATTATTGTTTATGACTATGGGGCAGCATGGTGGTGCAGTGGTTTTTACTCACAGCATCACAATGTGTGAAAACCACATGGGCACACAAAGCTTAAACTAGAAGCCCAGTATATATTATATGATAAAAGCCTCCCTGTCTATGTTTTGCTTGGATGTTTATTTCTTAAAGGTCTGAAAACAGCAGCTTCTCAAGCCAGATGCAGGGGTTGCACTGACCTCAGTGGTGCATTAGAAATGCAGCTTTTCACAGAATGCGACATGGGAATCTGGGCCTGGAGCCTTAAAAAGGAGCCTGACTTCCTGTCTTCCTGTGCACTGGTACAAACAGCCTGCAGATACTGC